CCTGTGCTAAGCGAGTATAAGTAGCCGGTGTCACCACAAAATCACCAACCTCTCATTTTCATCACTTCCGTTACAAAAAAAAAGAGAGAGTGAAAACAGGAAAGAAAGAAGGGAAAAAAGAAAGAAAGAAAAAGCGCTTGCAGCAGATTCAACGGGCTTGTTACTGCGAAAGTTCGGCAAGAAGTTATATTCGAAGTTAGCGCAAACACCTCTTCACGTTCTGCCATTCATAATGAAACTTTCGCTAAGTTTTTTTAACGACTCAGAAAGACGCTTACTTCTATTTCTATTCAATCCCGTATTTCTCTATGCGCACCATTCACTGACCCAAGCGCGTTGCACTGATCAGGCGGCTCTCTCATTGAACATCCCAGTGTCACTTACATTATAGCGGCTGTGGGCGGAAGAAGAAAATTTGACACGATAAGCCATTCTCTCTCAATTGTATGACCATGGTTCGCCCCCTCGTGGCAGGCGGACGCCCGCGCACCACACCCGCATCTTGTGCGGCCAGTAGGCACGGCTAAGTTATCGTTCTTCAGTCATCTATAGGCTGTTCTCTCTGGCGCTGCAGTCGCGTTGGAAGGGACCATCACTCAGGGATGCTCGAAGCACATGACTCATGGAACCCACGTGACAGCAAACTGCAATGCCGCCACGATCGTCACACTTTTTTTTGTTTCTCAGGAGAAAGAAAAAAGAAAGGCAGAGCACATCCACGTAGTGAATGATGATGAGTAGTGCGAAGAGCTGGAGGGTTTCATCGCTAAACCGTGAACCATCCACGAATATCGCCTACTACATCATCAAAGACGTGACAAACACTATGTGTATTTATACAATATTTATTATTCGTAAGTGGTAGCTATACGTCGCTTCCGTTGCCCCTTCATATTAACGGCTTTATGGGCGGTGAAGCGGTGGATCGGTGACGGGGCGTAGTGGGATGTTTGCGAGGACGAAGTAGCAGGCAGTTCTCAAAGGTGGAGCTATAGGCGCTCACGTACAAACAAGGGATGGACACTGTGGGACAATATATGGTTCATTAACGCACACCTGGATACAAGCACACGACCATCTGCATGTAATATTGGCTACTTCTCAATAGTATTTGCTTCGGTCGGTAACGTGGTGGATCGATGATGGGGCGTAGTAGGATGTTTGCAAGGACGAAGTAGTGGGCAGGTGTCAAACGTGGAACTATAGCCGGTCACGTACATACATAGAAGGCATGGACAGACCGACGCCTTTACGACCTTCGCCCCTAAAAACATTTATTTGCACCAATCCGGAATGACGGCGGAGGAAGCTTTAGCAGCTCTGTTCAATCACTGCTACTGCTTCGGAAATTCAGTCGGCGAGAAACGGACCGAGCACATGCACCGATCATAGTGCACTGCTGTAATCCACCTTTTGCAGCAGAGTTGTTAAGGTCGAGCTCTCTGATGTGTCGTGAACAGAAAGTGATCATCGTCATGTTCCTACACGCTCCAAGTGACCGCCCAAGCATTCGGTACAGATGGTTAACGAGACAAGCCGAAACATAGGGCCCCTAATTAGTGTTAGCCACGCGTGTGCTCCCGTGCTAGTTCTCAGTGAACCAGTCGGGTGGAAAGTGGGATTCGGCCAATCTTAAGTGCGCATTACCATAGGAGAAAGCAAGCACAGCCATGTATGGTACAGCATAGCAAGGGGCGGGAAAGATAGAAGTGAGAGGGTGAAGCTTATCGAAGCTAGGGCTCTGCTGTGACCCATCCCTGTGTAACTTAATATCAAAGTACCATATTTCTTTTTTTTTCATTTTCTTTTACTGCTCTCTGTCGTTTTGGTTGGGCTTGGTAGGGGCCGGGACAATAGATATCGCCAGAACGAAAGCCTTCAAAATCAAAGGGAGTGTAGCCCTTTTCCGCTATGGAATGGACGCATGTGCCGTGGCATCGTGAAAAATGGAGGATTCCTTTTAGCATAGCTGTAAAGTTCGCTTTGATGCGAGACAGTCGGTTTTGCAAACGGCGTGCACACTGTCGTCCTTTATGAAAGGGAACACGCGAGCCCGTGGCCTCCGGCCTGTCTGTGATGGCTGCCTACAGCACCATCAACCCACAGACAAGGAGATTACGTAGGTTTTTGGCGTCATCTATATGCAAACAAAATAAGAAGTCATGGCCATTGGACAAGCGCTGCTAGATAACGCTCCCGCTCCGGTATGATAATGAGTGATTCCGCCAAAAGTGGACGCACCTTCTTCAGCCGTCGGTTGACGGTGCTGAAGGCAGCCGCCGCGAAGCGCAGGTCACGTGCTCGCGTGTTCCCTTTCATAAAGTACGACAGCATAGATGTTCTTTACACAGCTGGGAGCACGGCCTTAGTATTATGCAAGACAAAAATCAACGTCTGTGGCTCATATGATTAGAATATGTTCAAAACAGTATCGCCAGCTTGTCTGAGGGGCTAGCATTCGGTCTTCATATATTGCCTATACAGAGCACAGGCTCTTGAGTTGTATGTATCAGTGCCATTGCAATTGCGTCTTTGCAATACTTAAGGTAATGAATGCTACGTGAGGACAAAAACGTGCGCTGACTGACAACAGTTGGTTTATCGTGCGCATATATAAAGAGGGAAAGAAAAAGAAGGGGAGACAGGGATTGATTGATATGTGGGGTTTAACGTCCCAAAACCACCATATGATTATGAGAGACGCCGTAGTGGAGGGCTCCGGAAATTTCGACCACCTGGGGTTCTTTAATGTGCACCCAAATCTGAGTACACGGGCCTACAACGGGGACACAGGGAAGAAAGTGGACTTACGCGCACAGGTTTGACAATGACATTAGACCAAGATGCTTCTGATTGTTGCCTGAAATATCGGTATCCCTTCTCTGTCAGGGTTAGCGATTGTTGTCATTGCCCTATAGGCCATGTGCACAGACAATCCGAGCCCTTGCACATCATCGCGCATGGTTCAAATAAGCCATATGCCAGATTGTCCTTGTATCTTCGCGATACTTCTGCTTTCTTCGGCAGCAGAGAGCCCCCACAATCTGTTTAATGGGTGGCTAGATTGCTGCCATGCGTGTTTTGGCTTCGTTTTCGTGCTCTCGTAGATGATTATTGAGACATCATCCCGATTGACCGATGTACGATCTGCCACTCGACGTGAAAATTTTATACACGGTATCCCCCTTTTTTTTTCCTTGCACTGCACATAGCGTGGGGCGTTGTTCTTCCCTCAGGACTTGAAGTCAGTGGGCAGTACGTTACTGCGGTTATCATGCGCCATCAAGACCGACATAAAGTCCTTCGGAAGAACTGTATTCCGCACTGTCTGGTGCATTTATGAATGCGTTGTCTTTATAATGGTTTTCTTTTTTATGAACAATGTTCATTAAACAATGAAAACGTTTCTGTAATTGTACTAGAAAGTAGGACAAGAGCAAGAACAACAAGGGAGAAGGCAGGGAGGTTAATCAGGCAGATGGCCGATTTGCTACCCTGCGCTGGGGGAAGTAGAACAAAGCTTTACAAAACGACGCTACGGCAGTTCGGTAGCCATATTCTTTGCAAAAGTCATGGTGCGCACCAAAATATGCGGACAACCTAAAACTATCCCGCAGCCAAACCTTCTCCCACACAGCCAAGTCATTCAGGGTATACATGCGGTCTTAATAGCACTTTTTAAACAAGGAAGTGGTCACCGAGACAGCATCTATCCCGCGTAGTGCCAAGCCTATTTATTCATTGGTTGAAAAGAAAAAAAGGAAATCTAACGGCACGCAGCTGTACCGCAGCATGTTTCAATCTCCCTTGACACGAGAGCAGGAACGTCCCATGATGTCACATGATTTGGGGCGTTCGTACGTGTGCCTCTGTCTCGACTGTCACTCATTCGATAAATGTATTTACCACATTTCCTTCGCGACCCGCAAGGCCGCGAATGTTTCGTTAGGTGCAGGAATTCTATGGCGTGCAAGCTGCGAATCGCAGAGCCTTTCGCGGTCGCCGTGCGCTAGTCAAATGATCTGGAATTCTATATGTAAAATGAGTGGAAAAGTTCGCTCCTTCTATTTCCATAACCATTGTCGAAGTCCTACTTGCATGCTTACTCAAAGAAATCTTGAAAAGTTCATTGAGGGAAAGGTCTTCCGGACAGAATCTTTGGAGTCACCCTGGCCACGTGACCTCAAGTACGAGTGAGTGAGTGAGTGGAGTGATTGCCGGTACAACCAAATGGTACCGTGCTCCTTCGGTCGGCTAGGAAACTTCACGTGACTACGATGGTTTCACTGGAAAGCGTCCATACGAGCAGCCGAATCGGAAAACAAAGACCCGATAAATAATAGCAGCCATGGTAGCGAATTTTGCTGCGCACGAAACAAAGTAAAGAAAATTCCACATCCCGACATGAAATACGTGATTCCCTCACGTTCAGCTAAAGCGAACGTCTTTTGTTGACCCCGAAACGCACGAATTCAAAGCTCAACTTTACACTTCAAGCCAATCGCTTCAGTTCAAATCAGCAGTGTAACATTAGACCTAAAGAGGAGAACGTGCACCTGAAGGTACTATAGTCTAACGTACCTGATACCACTGATATAATGGGCAATTTGTACCGCATACTAAGTGCGGTACACTGAAGCGATGAGTCAGCAACTGCACGATGCAATGCCATGTGCAATTATTCAACTGGGTTATGTATAGACAACCCGCAGATGCGTATTTGTTTTACGTGTGGCACTGAAAGCATTCAGTTGTGGTGTTCTGATCTTCGCGCACTATGACGTGTATGAAATAAATAAATAAATAATAAATAAATAAATAAATAAATAAATAAATAAAGAGCAACAGTCATGACTCTACAAGGCTTGAAGACTGCGGAAAGCACCATTGTGATTCGATATGTCCGTAGAGGTGTTTCGATAATGTAAAAGCAAGTTTTGCATCTTTGTGTCTCCTTTCCTTCCCTCAAAGTGGGCATCGAATAGATTGTAACTGCTCACCTGCCATTCAGCGTCGTCGCATGAAGACCGGTGCTGCCTTCACTTCCCCACAGAAGGCGAAAACAACAGACATTTCCGCGGTTCACTCCCCGAAGATTGGGTGTGGGCGACGGTCCCTCGCTCACACCACAAAAGACATCGAACAGGCCAGCGGGATGAACAAGCCAGCCGGATGAAAATTAGTAGCCGCAGACCGATGTACGGATGCCCAGGCGGGTGGGAGGTGGGAAGCAAAAAAGAAAGACGTGGAAGCCACCGCTGCCGCTGCGCGGCAGACGGACGAAAAGAAGAAAAAACATGTAGCAGTCGACGACGAAACGAACGACGCACTCATTACCCGCCAGCGACGCAAGAGGGCGTGCGAAGCGGGAGCACAGCCGAGAGGCTGATACAATGAACCAATGAACCAAAATGACATAAACGGCCGAAAGAGAATTGACGAAAAAAAAGAACAAAAAAAGATGCGCGGACGAAACGGTAGAGCTGCGAATCACAAACTAACAAAGGTGATAGGAATGCGTCCTTTCCCTCTTCCGAAGCAAGAGTGAAAAAAAAAAAAAAAGAAAGAGCTGAAAGTGAGAACAGCATAGTATGGAGGCCAGAATGGGCTGGAGAGAGGGCAGACAGTTATATGTACACGTCAAGCAGGAAGCCCAAACGCCGAACAACAAGCACAAAAATGATCGCCGACCTCGACCCTTCCTTTCTCTTTGTGTGTCTGTGCGTGTGGCGCGCCTCCTCAAATCGCAAGTCATCCATGACGGCTGGTCTTCCCGCCATCCACGCGCCGATTTCCCGGGTTCGAGGTTACGTGCGTCCGCTCGCGCCGCCTAGCGAAGTTTCGCTTTCGACACTCTTCTTTTAGTGTCGCTGCCCGCCATGGTGGTCTAGTGGTTAGAGTTCTCGAGTGCTGACTCGAAGGTCACGGGATCGAATCCCCGCCCTGTCTGCCACATTTAAATGGAATTGAAACACTAGAGGGCCGTGTGCTTAAACTTGCGTACACGTTAAAGCTCACCACATGGCATAGGTCGGCAATACTTGTGGAGCTCAGTCAGATCCACTCATGAAATATATTTAGAGCTTTGCACTCGAACTCAAACTCACCGAAACATTACTCACCCGTACTCACTCAGACTTAGAGTCAAGGCTCGATCTGAGTCTGAGTGAGTCCGAGAGAGTCGACCTGTGAGTCTGTAAGGTTAAAACTTTCTCCTTCGATCATGGCGTCATTGCTCTTTAACTTATCTTTGACGGAGGCGAAAATGCTGTAGGCCCGTGTGCTCTGATTTTGGTGCACGTTAAAGAATCCCGGGTAGTCAAATTTTCCGGAGCCCTTCACTACGGCATCTCTCATAATCGTACGTGGGTTTCGGGACGTTAAAGCTCAGATATCCAAGTGCTCTTTAACACGAATGTCAAACATAATTGATGCTAATCTTGGCGCCGCTTGACATATCTTCGAGAACGAGTTCTGTGGGCTTGCAAACCAGCTATAGGTCATTTTTTTCTTAAAAGATATGGCAGCATAACATGTTTATCAATTAAATGCTCTGGAAGAGTGTGTGTGTGTGAGGGAGGGAGGGTCAAGGCAGCTCCTTACGTAATCCACGCCTATGATCAATGAATATTGAAATTGTGTATGAACGACGCTGCTTTGAAAGACACGCGAGTCGACGTAAGCATAAGCGTGAATCCAGACAAGGGTGATAGTAATGCTGAAGATGACTAGATAGGATGTTAGATCGGCAAATGAAAATGGAACTCGCTCAGACTCACTAGAGAGATACATGTTGCGCTTCAGACTCACTCGAACTCAGACTCACCAAGCTTTTCTTGAGGCAAACTCTCTCGGACTCACACTCACGAAAATTCTCACAAAACGGACTCCCTCATACTCACGGCTGGGTCTGAGTGTGAGTGAGTTCAAATGAGTCATCAAGTCATGAGAGAGTTCGCCGACTTATGCCACACGGTAAACCTGTTCTAGAGCCCTCCACTACGCCGTCCCTCTTATTCTATATTGTTATTATCAGACGTAAAACTGCATCAATTACTATTGTAGTGCCACCGGGCTGTGCGTGCGTTAACATTTTTTTTCTTCTTTTTATCAGTTTCTCGACTCAGCAGTGGACAGCTGCAGCTCATACCATAGCTTGAAGCGCAGCGGAATAAATGCAATTCAAAACAAAAAAGGGAAAAAGATGCCGTCCCGCGAATGCGTACTTGGCGTGCGCAGCGGGGTACTTGTTTCCGGTCACAACGGAGTGCAGAGTGAGTTTCACTTTGCATCCGTGAATCGTTTCGTGTCTTTCATGTCACTGCCACGATTGCAATGTCTTTCTTGCAACATCACCGCCGCTGTTCCGGTGAGGAAACCAATGCACGACTAGATAAAAAAAAATGCCAACGCGTGAAATTTAGCGCAATATTTTCAAAAATCTATATTCGACAAAGCGAAGTTGAACGATGTATGTTCGGAGTTCTGATGAACTTATTAGAAAATAACTGGTGGGATTAATCCTTTATTAGCTTTATCCTTGCCACTATTACGTTTCTTTAACTAACGCTGCATTACTTAATTAATCGTGTGATCAGCACATACCACTGTTGTTCATTTATGCTGTGTATTCAAATTATAACGGACGCTCACTTAGTGCAATACCTCTCCCCCCTTCCATTTACTTCGTGTGAGGCCTGTTAAGCATTTTTATATAAATGTATAAACTTGCAGGGATTTCAAGTTTCCATACACTCTGCTGCAGTCTGTCCAGCTAGATTTCGCTTCGGACTATCATTTTGCTCTCGAATGAACATGTTGTTCGGCCCTGCGAAGAGGAAACGAAATATACTAATGAGGACGGCGGTGTGAAACAATGAAAATGACTCAGCAGGATGTGTGGCCAGTTGGCGTTCGCATCTTCAAATCTGACAGATGTCACACCACCGTTCTCTGTGCAGCTGAATGTCACACGTCACATCGCTGTTGTATTTAGCCTTCGCACGCACGGCTTTAGGTGAGGGTCAGCTGTGACACAAATCGTGCTTTCATTCAAGACTCTCTCTTTCTCTCTGTGTGTGTGTGCGTGTGTGCGTGCGTGTGTGTGCGTCTGTGTGTGTGTGCGTGTGTGTGTGTGTGTGTGTGTGTGTGTGTGTGTGTGTGTGTGTGTGTGTGTGTGTGTGTGTGTCTTGCAGAAAGGGTTACCGTCCCGAGTTTCATTATTTTTGTTTTCACTTAAATGCCCAAACTTTCTAGTCGCATCGAATATAACAGATAGCTTCATTATTATTGTTACTACGCACAGTTGAGTCCATGTCGACGGAGGACGACATGATTACCCCCAGTCAATGGGATGTTTTTACAAGGTCTTCATAAGCTCACCGAGTTTTTTTTTTTTTTTTGTGGACTGAAGAAAATTATTTAACAGCTGAACATATGTATTAGGCTCTATACCCGACGGTTCCTCGTATTTTACCGTCTAAGAAAAAAAAAGAGTCATTTGACTCTTTTTTGTCGGAACGCACTTGCCACGTATATTACTCTTTAAAAAAAGAGAGACCTCTGGTCTCCTTTTCGCCATTATACTCTCGTCAGAAAGTCGTGGGACTCAAAATAAAGTTGACGTAACACCTTGAAGGTAGTTGAATATTCTCTCTCGCTCTTTTTTTCCCTGTGGGTGTAGCGTAGTGAATTCTTTATATATTTACCATCAGCTGCATGTGATTGGTTTTCAAATGCGTAGTTGAGCATTTAGTTACCTCTGATATGTTCGTATATGCGTATACGCATATACCAGACTAAGCCAGACTTTTACACTTACCTCGTACGACTCCATGTAAACTTCTTCGACAACGATCTAGAAAAGAAAGGAAAAGAAACTGATTAAGCAGTAATTCAACATAATTATATCATTGTCTAGACGGAAAATCATCGTAAGCATAAATTGTGGTCTTCAAGCATCAATGTTGTTTACTTTATTATTATTATTATTAGTGTACCAAGCGGAAGGACATATGGTCATAAAACAAATCTAGAACAATACGCAGATATACCTCTTAGGTAAGAACATACGGAAGCCGAGAAGTAATATTTAAGAAATTAATTATTTTATTCATGGTATTTATTAGACATGTGCTTAATGTGTACAGCTGGCGAATAAAACAGTCAAGCTCGCCTCTACATGTGCACAACAAACGTTGCACAGAAAGTAGTCTCAATGAACACTGTTCTAAAAGGGAACTTGAGCAAAGCATTTCGTCAACAGTGGATACCAATGCAGCTGAAACTGCAGTTGTTCATAAGAAACGTCCAGCTGAGGTATCACTTGTATGAAATGCAAGATGATACAGTTGATCTTGCATACCTGTTTAAACTGCGAGTTTTCCATGAGCTGTACATTCCCACTAGAAAGATAATTCCAACCGGCACAACTCTGCCTTTGGGTGGCCCGACATAACGTATACTGCAAGAATTTAAATCCCGTTGTTCTTTAAAAGCAGTTTGGCGAACGTGCCATAGTTGTTTCGTCAGCTATAACAACCGGGAGCTGTCATGAAATCGGAAGCAGCTTTCTACGTTGCCACGGTGCTTATTGAGCCAGGAGGTCGTAATAATCGCGGAAAGATACTGAGACTGCTAAATAAGAACGATAACGAAACTTATACACTTTGTTACACAGATAAGGCGGACTAGCTCGCCGGGTTGTGCAGGGGTAAGTGAATGAATCGAAGCGAGAGGACAAAGATATAAACATCTACGTCCGTTCGTCAGAGTGCCTCACGACGTGCAGCACATTCATGTTTTTTTTTATTCGATCGCACCACTCCCTTTCAGTGCGAACGCAAGCGAGGGCACGGGCACGTCACGACATCTCTCGGAGGCCGCGGTAACTGTATTATTACCGACGATCAGATTAGTTAATGCCCTTGGATTTTGTGTTTATGGCGGGGACAATGAGTTTAGGACGTCATTTGTCGACACAAGTGCAAACGATTTGCAGTTGACTTCGATAATTATTCACATGTTCAAGGCCACGTGCTACGCTCTAATGATTGGATCAAATGTACTCAGGAGCCCAGACTACCAATCGGTAGCGATGTCTGACCATACTGAATGAGTGTTGCAGGGCCCCTTTAAAGAGACACTAAAAACAATGATTTAGTTTAGATTAACAAATTGCACTCTGTGAGCTTCAATTACGTATGTTTCGCTATCATAAGTTTATTTTTACTGAGAAAATCATGGTTGAAGTTTAATTTTCGAATTTCGCGCCGACATTCCCGTGAGTGAG